GGCGGCCGAAGATGTACGACCTGGTCTTGGTTGCGCCCTCGGCGGCCGAAAATAAAACGGCCTGCTAGTGGTTGCGCCACAAGATGCGCCCGTGGCGACCGAACAGATAATGATGTGCTAACGGGTGTGACCAGCCAGTGAGAGCACATCAAGAACAACATATTTGGGCTACACCCGAAATGAGGAGGCGGATGGGGAGCCAAACAGGGACTCGGGGCTGAGCGGGATCGGGTCAGGGAGATGGATTATGAGGGACGGTGGGATCTGGCGAACTGCATCGTGCGGCCTAAAAGGTTCTGGACGCACCCAGCCTAAACTTACGCAGCTTGCTTACAAGCTGCTTAGAATAGTGCAAAGTAACGTTGCTTACGGTCTTAATCGGTTACTTGCCACTCATTATGTGTAAGGTATCCTGCACGGTTAAATATGGAAACCAGTTACAAGTACCGCAAGTAGACTTACACCGCACGAGCAATACTTGAGCAAGGTTACCAACACCACCTGAGACACCTGCAACACTTACACCTTGCCATAAGTAGATTACACCCAGCCGTACCCAAGTTGCAAGTAGCATAAGAAACGTCGTCCTTACAGAGGAGAGCCGATACACTGCCCCAGAGGGTGTCAGGATGGTTCGAGAGAACTCCAGCAGAGTTTCGAGACGTACCTGGGTTGTGGGCCAGAGTTCTCATGGATGCTTCTCGGGGTCGCTTCGGATGGCTTTCGGCAGCCTCTGGGAGCAGTCTTGGGGCTTCTGGGGAGCCTCTTGGGGGCTTCTTGGGAACCTCCTGGGGCTTCCTGGGGTCCTGTTGGGGGTCTTGGGGGCCTCTTTTGGGGCCCCTTTGGGGCCTCTTGGGGACCCCTCGGGGCCTCTTGGGGGGCTCTGGGGGGGTCCTGGGCGCTTCTCGGGGTCGAGAGCTCGAAATGTCCGTTCGGGTTCCCCCTCTGGGCCCTCTCTTGGGGCCATCCTGGTCCTGGGGCCGTTCTGGAGGCCTCTTCGGCCGTCTTGGGGCCACCTTGGGCCACTGGGAGGCCCTCTTGGAAGCCCTTCGAGCCGTCATGCAGCGGTCTTGGGGCCTCTTGGGCCGCCCAGGGCGGTCGGCATCCCGAAAAGGCGGCACAGCCCAAACCGTCCGAAAACCAATGCAGAATCAATGCTTTTTGCATTTTCGGAGCCTCTCGAATTCCTCGTGGCACCCTCCTGGAGCGTCTTGGGCGCTTCTTGGGCCGTCTTGGAACCAACATGGGCCATCTTGGAACGCTCTTGGCCTGAGGCCGTGGGGCCTGCCACCTGTTTGGCGCTTTGATGGGGCGCTCGGGGGCCCCCGAAGCCGCGCCCAGGAGTTCTGGCATCTCTGACCCAGCCTTGCCGGGAACCTGCCGGGACCCTGCCGGGACCCTACCAGGCTAATTATCGTCCGGGGACCCCCAGGGGCCGCCACGTGCGCGCGCAGAGAGACTCTGTCACGCCTCTTGGCCCGTTGGGTTGGCGGATGCGTGGTTGCTGGCGCAGGCGTTGCTGCAAGCTCTGTCCCAGCTTTCTCGGTCCTGGCCTCGATCGGGCAGCCCGCTCAGGATGCCGCGCAGTGCGAGGTCGATCGTGTCGCGCCCTTCCTCCCCTGCCCTTCCCTCGCCTTCCCTCCCCTTTCCTCCCCTCCCCTCCCTCTTGCGTTTCCTGGAGCCTTCGATGTTCTGCTCCCCTCCCCTCCCTCCCGCTTTGCCTCCCCTCCCTCCCGATTCCCCTCCCCTCCCGTCTGCTCCCCTCCCCTCCCCTCCCTCCCACTCTTCCTGGAGCCCCCCCCCCCCCTTCCGCTCTTCCTGGTCCTCCTCGATTCCTCGACTACTTTCCCTCGGAGCCTCCGATGGTCTGGAGCCCTGGAGCCCTCCAGCCTGCCAGCCTTCCAGCCAGCCCCGCCGCTCGTGGCCAGCCAGGGGGATCGCTGGCCTGAGCGGGGCGGGGTGCGCGACCGCCCGCTCGACGCCGCGGGCTCCTCTGGCCAGCGGCCTCCCCCCCTGCGCTGCTGCTGCCGGGCAGACAGACGCGCGGTGGCCTCTCCCGGCTCGCCTGCTCGGGCAGGAGGAGGCGGAGGAGGAGGAGGAGGAGGAGGAGGAGGAGGAGGAGGAGGAGGAGGAGGAGGAGGAGGAGGAGGAGGAGGAGGATGGGGCGGAGGGCCAAGGTCGGGGGCCCCCGAAGTCGCAGGCCTTCAGGTTGACACCACCACCAACATCGGCGGCGTTCTCCACCGAGGGAAAGAAGATCCCGATCTCGGTGATGGTGGTAGTATTCTGGCTTCCAAGGTGTCCGAAGTACTACCACCAGCACCGAAATCTAGGAGATCCTCTACCACCTCTGGAGGCAGCCCCCTGTCTTGGTGTTGGTGCCCATTTCCAGGCCTCCAGCGAACGGCTCTGGCAGCCACGCCGCGCGGTGCGTCGGCGGGGTTTCGGGGACCGCCGCACGGCTCTGGGGCTATCGGGCCGTCCTCCGAGGGTGCCTCCCCGGGCGACCCGGGGCACCCGAGGCCCCAGGAGCGTGCGTCGACGGACCGTGCGATGAGGTCTCGTGGGGGGGGAGTTCGAGGCCACCGCACGGTCGGTCACCGCACCGCTTCGGGACCCCAACAACAACCAAGGTCCTAGAAGCCACGTGGTCGTTTTTTCCCCACATCCTGAGTGGGGTTCTTGTTTTCCCAGAACATCCTATCCTCCTCCTCCTCCTCCTCCTCCTCCTCCTCCTCCTCCTCCCGCTTCCTCCACCATCCCATACTGTATCATACCATACCAATACCATGCCACTCCATACCATACCTTACCAATACCTTACCATACCATACCATGCATTTACCATCCCATACCATACCATGCCTTTCCTCACACCATGTTCTTTATCAGGTTTCGTGCCCCTCCCACCCCTCCAGGGAGGCCCCGCCTGAGCGGGCAGGGTATTCGCACACCATGTTCTTTATCAGGTTTCGTGCCCCTCCCACCCCTCCAGGGAGGCCCCACCAGAGCGGGCAGGGTATTCGCACACCATATTATTCATCAGGTTTCGTGCCCCTCCCACCCCTCCAGGGGGGCCCCGCCTGAGCGAGCAGGGTATTCGCACACCATATTATTTATCAGGTTTCGTGCCCCTCCCACCTCTCCAGGGAGGCCCCGCCTGAGCGAGCAGGGTATTCGCACACCATGTTATTTATCAGGTTTCGTGCCCCTCCCACCCCTCCAGGGAGGCCCCGCCTGAGCGAGCAGGGTATTCGCACACCATGATATTTATCAGGTTTCCTGCCCCACCCATCCCTCCAGGGAGGCCCCGCCTGAGCGAGCAGGGTATTCGCACACCATGCTATTTATCAGGTTTCGTGCCCCTCCCACCCCTCCAGGGAGGCCCCACCAGAGCGGGAAGGGTGTTCGCACACCATGTTATTTATCAGGTATCCTGCCCATCCCACCCCTCCAGGGAGGCCCCGCCTGAGCGAGCAGGGTATTCGCACACCATGTTATTTATAAGTTTTCGTGCCTCTCCCACCCCTCCAGGGAGGCCCAGCCTGAGCAAGCAAGGTATTCGCACACCATGTTATTTATCAGGTTTCGTGCCCCTCCCACCCCTCCAGGGAGGCCCCGCCTGAGCGAGCAGGGTATTCGCACACCATGTTATTTATCAGGTTTCGTGCCCCTCCCACCCCTCCAGGGAGGCCCCACCAGAGCGGGCAGGGTATTCGCACACCATATTATTTATCAGGTTTCGTGCCCCTCCACCCCTCCAGGGAGGCCCCACCAGAGCGGGCAGGGTATCCGCACACCATGTTATTTATCAGGTTTCGCGCCCCTCCCAACATTCCAGGGAGGCCCCGCCAGAGCGGGCAGGGTATTCGCACACCATATGATTTATCAGGTTTCATGCCCCTCCCACCCCTCCAGGGAGGCCCCACCAGAGCGGGCAGGGCATTCGCACACCATATTATTTATCAGGTTTCGTGCCCCTCCCGCCACTCCAGGGAGGCCCCGCCAGAGCGGGCAGGGTATTCGCACGCCATATTTTATTATTAGGTTTCGTGCCGTTCCCGCCCCTCCAGGGAGGCCCCACCAGAGCGGGCAGGGCATTTGCACACCATGTTATTTACCAGGTTTCGTGCCCCTCCCACCCCTCCAGGGAGGCCCCACCAGAGCGGGCAGGGTATCCGCACACCATATTATTCATCAGGTTTCGTGCCCCTCCCACCCCTCCAGGGAGGCCCCACCAGAGCGCAGACAAGAAGCAATGGAACCCCGTAACATCTTTATGTGGGGAACTCCGTTAGCATAATTGATTAATTGTGTTGCCGATCGGCGCGGGCCCTCGCCCCCCCCCGCCCCTCCCCCCCGCTCCCTGGAGTGGATCTTGGCTGTTTGGGGCGCCCGTTTCGAGCAGGTGGAGCCTTCCCCCCCCCTTAGGACGCACGGCTCCGTTTCGGGACTCCAAGCACCTGGCATCGCTCGGACGTGTGTATTTTTCCTTCGGCGAGGACCATCGAGGAGCATCCTTGATCATTTGGCGGAAAAACCACGCACGAAACCGAAAAAAACACAGGGAATGGACGTCCGAGCGATGGGGAGGTTTCGGGACCCCCAAAACAACCAAGTTCCTATAAGCCACGTGATGGTTTTTTGATTCCTTGTTTTGCCGATCGGCGCGGGCCCTCGCCCCCCCCCCCCCCCCCCCCCCCCCCCATCCTCCCCCCCCCCTCCCTGGAGTGGATCCTGGCTGTTTGGGCCGCCCGTGTCGAGCAGGTGGAGCCTTCTCCCCCCCCCCCCCTCTAGGACGCACGGCTCCGTCTCGGGACTCCAGGCAGGAGAGGGGGGCGATGGCTAGGCCGCGGGGGGGAGGCGCCGCCGCAGCCCGAGCGTTTCGTCCGCGGCCGCTGGCGAGGGACGAGGCTAAAACGCACGACCCAAAACGTCGGCGCCCCGTCGGCCGACAGCACGGGGGGGCGCGTCCGGGGTGGGCGCCCCCCGGCGCGAGCATGCGCTTCGGGCAGCGCCGGAGGCCGCCGCCGAGCGCTGTCGGCGCGGTTGGTGGAGCGTGCCTTGGCATCGCTCGGACGTGTGCGTTTTTCCTTCGGCGAGGACCATCGAGGAGCCTCCCTGATCATTTGGCGAAAGAGACGCGCACGAAACCGAAAAAAAGGCACAGGGAACGGACGTCCGAGCGATGGGGAGAGCGTTTGCCCTGCCGTCGTGCGCTCGCTCCCCGCGCTCGAGGGAGGGCGCCGCCCGGAGGCGCTGGCGGCGTGATGCGGCGCGACGGCGACTGGGACTGCCCGAGGTGCGGCAAGATGGTGTTCGCCAGCGGCTCCGCCCGGCACCGTGGGCGGAGGATCTCTTGGCGCAGTGGTGAGCCCGTCGGGTTTTCTGCTCGTGGGCCCGCCCGGCCTTCCCCTGGTGCATTTCGGAGTTTGTCGAAGGCTTCGTCCCTCTCCCCCCCGCGCCCGAGTGTAGCCCCAAAAGGTGCGTGGGGCTCCTGGTTTGGTTGTGCAGCATTTCTTTGGATTCTCTCGCTGGTTTGCTCCAGATGGCTTCAAGAGGCCAGGGCCCCTCTCGGTTGCTTTGAAGGCTCGTGTGGGGGGGGGCTGGACTCCAGCGTAAGCGAAGCGCCCGCGCTGCTCTTGTGTGTGTGTGCATCGAATGGACTTCGGCCAATCCCGCCACCGTGCCCGGGTTGGGGGCCCGAGTTCTCAGTGGTGCTTTTTGGGGTCTCTTCGGCGCGCTCTCGGGGGCCTCCCGGGGGCAGTTATTCGGGCCTCTTGGACCGTCCTGGGGGCCGTTTTTTGCCTCTCAGACCGTCTCGGGGGCCTCTTAGGGGGCCTTTTGGCCCGTCGTGGGACCCTCTCGGATCAGAACCATCCATGCGACAAGCCGCGGGGCGGCGCTCCACTAATAGGAGCGGAGCAAGTGCAGCCCCTTCGTTCGAGTCCAGTTTGCGCGGCGGTGCTCCGATAATAAGTGGGAAGCAATCGTAATCCCTTCGTTTGAGGTCAATGAGCGGAGCAGCGCTCCGTTAATGTTAGCGAGACTATCAACATCCTCGGGCCCCAGGCCAATGAGCGGAGCGGCGCTCCGCTACTGGGAGCCAGGCCAGCTGCCAACCCCATGGTTCGAGGCGAACCAGCGGAGCGACGGAAAATCCGCAGCCGGTAGCAGCAGCAGGAAGAGGAGGAGGAGGAGGAAGAGGAGCAAAGGCTCCCAGAAGATGCAAAGTAGCGTAGGGCGGGGCGGGGCGGCACCAGCAGCACTGTAAGCGAGCAGGTATCCTAGGGCATCTGGGCCGTCAAGGGGCGATTGTTGGAGCCTTTTGGGCTGTCTTGGTGCGATCTCGGAGGCCGTTAGAGCTGTCTCGGGCCGCTCTTGGCCCGAAAAGGCGCGAACCCCCAATCCCTTTAAACGCTTACGAGATATCAATGTGTCTTGTCTTCTCAAGCCCTCTCGGAGGTCCCTCAAGCCTCACCAGGGACATAACATCGATATCTGGAATATTTTCCGTGAACATCTGGGCGGATGTCCTGAATCACGCCGCAGAAGCAAGAAGAGGGGGAAAGTTGTCGAGGACGACGAGGAGAGCGACGACGCACCCCGACGGTCCCCAGAGGTCCCACGGTGTTTCCCGAGTTCCACGTCCAGCGATCGTGCGAACATCATCATGCGACGCCGACGATCTTAAAACATGTATGTCCACACAACATCGTGCGACATCGACGACGATGGCGACAACGCAGGCCGCGGCTGCAGTGGCGGCGGCGGCCAGAGCCCGCACGCTCAACAAAGCGCTGGCGGGAGCCCAAAAGGCCGTGGGCAACCGCGGCGATGAAGGCGGCCCCACAAGTCTCAAGAGGGCCCTTCGAGCCCCCCAGCCCGCCGTTGCTTGAGCTCTTCTGCGCCGCCCCCCTTAGCAGCCAGTTGCCGGTTCGTCCGAGGCTGGTCTGCGTGGGGGGAGCGCGCGCGCGCTGGCACCGTTTTCTGATTTCTTCTGCGCATTGCCGTGGCGCAGAAAAAAATGAATAAAAACAAGTCTCAAGAGGGCCCAACACAAACCTCAATCTTCGACCCTGGATCCGTCATTCTCTCCCCATCGATCGTTAACGACTGCGGCGACGTTGGCGGCGACAACGACTACCACGACCACAGCCACGACGGCCATCGCGACGACGGTAGTGACGACAAAAGAGGCCCTGGCGGCCTCCAGAGGTCTGACGACGACCACACGACGACGATCGATCGACAACGGCCGACGGCTTCCATAGATCCCCAGCACAACGCGCCCCAGAACATGCAATCGTCCGATCACGTCCGCGGACGACGATCACCACCACCATGACCAGCACGACGATCACCACGGCGATCATCATGACGGCGGCAGCGGCTGCGGGGGCGGCGGCCACGAAGGGCGGCGGCGGCGGCCCGGTTTCCCGCGGCCTCTTGGGTCTTCTTCTGCCAACGTGGCAGCCACGTCATTTGCGCGTGTGGGAAACACTCGGAACCTTCCGGCGCGTCGCACGTTGATCTCGCGTGGCTCCACGACCTCCCACCGAGCCCGAAAATATCCCCCGAAAGGCTCAGCGTCTCCACGCGTTAAGGGCGGCCCTTGCCTGGGGAGCCTCTCCTTTGGTATCTTCGGGTTCGTGGACGAGCGCAGTGTCCACAAACAGCGACTACGCCGCCAGCCAGAACCTCAGCGCGCGAAGCGCGCCTGGTTCCAGTGCGTGCGTGTGTAAATATACATGTGTTTGCTGGTGTACGCGTCTATACATGCACGTATGCAGGGTAAGCAGACGCAGTAATAACTTCCAATAAAGCCATGAGCGTATATGATACGAGTCTCTCCAGGGCTAGAACTGCTTACAGTACAGTAGTAATGGCACTACTACCACTTGCGTTGGATGTAACATAGAATTGTTGCTCGCCCGCCCCCAACCCCAAACCTCCATACATCGAGTTCGAGGGGTATGTTTGTGTTGCAGTTGAGTCGCTGCGGGGGGCCGGAGGAGCATCTCGAACCACACGACAACGTTTCGAAACGGACGAAATAGATGCACCTTTTAAAATGGAATCGGTGTAAGATGTCACAATTGGGTCGCGCCGCTTGTGGTCAGGATTGCATGACACACGCGCCGATGTTTTGGAAGACACAGAAAGAGGTTTTTGGAATCCGCGAAATGCGTTGTAACGAAGTGTAAATTCTCGTGCAAACGAAAATGGCTTTGCTGTGATTTCGCGGGTTGTCTAGTACAATATACTGGGGACCGGTTGCTTCACGATGCTTGCTGTCTGCCGCTGGCCCCCTGCTAATTGACCGCCGCGCGTTGTTTCTTTTGCGCGCATGGCCCCCTTGCTTTTTTGCCCTGCCAACAGCATCTGTGGCGATATGTAATTCGTATCCCAGGTCGCCTTACGGCGAGCACGCAGTATCACAGTGGTGTGCATTTGACCAGGGTAGAACGCCCGCCTTCCTTGCATAAGTCCTGTGCTCGTCGGGGATGATCTAGTCGCGCCTGCTTTGATGAGGCTCAGAAGCCCCCCGGCCTTCCGAGAAGTTTCCTGAGCCTGCCCCGAAGCCGCGGGAAACTTCGCAGAAGGCTGGAGGGCTCCTGAGAAATCCCGCCGCCTTCTGAGAAGGCGCGCCCCTTCTCACTTCCCCCCCTCGCTCGCAGCCGATCCTGCCGCCCCCCCCGCCTCCCGCCGGCAGCCTGCAGTCCTCGGGGCGCTGGGGCTGGCCTCCCCGCGTGCGCCGGGCAGCCCTTTTTAACCAGCCTGGAACATATCCCTATCCCTATGCTGGGCACCTCCACATCACGATGCCAATCTTAGGGATTCCCTTATTTTTTGAGGGCGAATCCCTAAGATTGTCATCGCCTTTTGGCGTGTCAATCTTAGGGATAGGGATACGTTCGAGGCTGGTAACTTTTGCACCACGGGGCTCCCGCCTGGAGCGCCTGGCCCGCGCCCCCCCCCACACACACAACGGACCCCCCTGGAGTCTGTTGTCTTTGGGGTTCAGGTGCGCAGCGCGGTGCCAGGCTTTCGTCAGAGCGTGAATGACCCACCCCGCTTTCGCTTCCAGGCAAAACCAAGTCATGCCATGCACCTCCCCGTCGAGCGGCCTGACCAGTGCGGCCGTAGTTTGGCGTCGCTTGGTAGCTCTTGGAAGCGAGGGTGGTCAAAAGCGAGGTAGGTTCGTTTGCCCCCTATTTCGCTCGGGAGCAAATCGTGGGTGCCTGGTGTACCCTCTCCAGGCAGTCTCTGGCGTCGGCTAGCGTGGATTAGCGTCTGGGAGTCGATGATATGGCGCCGAACCAGCGTCGATTAGCGTCGACGTAGCGTCGATTAGCGTCGATTTAGCGTCGACTAGCGTCGATTCGCAAGAGCCGACAGGATGGTACGGGAGGCTCCCATCAGTTGCCACCGAGCTTTCGGCCCAGGTCCCCGTGTCTCGTGCCGCGAGCGAGCGGGTGCCCGACGGCGCAGGCAGCGGCGCCAGTCACGCCGAGGATAGGAGTGAGGATTGTCCGTATGCTGGTGCCGGCGAGTGGCGCAACGCCCGAGACGGCTGGGACAGCGCGCCAGGAGTGCTCGCCACCGCGCACTTGCCCTGATAAGAACTCTTACGAAAATGGCGGGGCGGCCAAGCCAACTCGTTGCGTAGGCAGGAGGTGTGGGGGAGGGGGGGTTGTATGATGAGCAAGCGAGGAGGAGCACGTGGAGGAGGAGGATGAGAAGGAGGAGGACCAGAGTAAACCCTGGATGCATCAACAATCTTGCAGTACACCCTCCCTTCTCCCAAATCTCGTCTTCATAAGTCCTTTCACGTATCTACTGGCCGTCGGCCAATCCCGCCACCGTGCCTGTATTGTGGGTCAGAGTCCTCAGGGATGTTTCTTGGCGTCCTCTTGGGGACAGTTCCGGTGCATCTTGGGGACAGTTTGGGGGCCTCTGGGGGGCCCCCTTGGAGGCCTCTCGTGAGCCTCTCGTGAGCCTCTTGGGGGCCTCTTGGGAGCCTCTAAAGGGCCTCTTTGGGGCCGTCTCGGGGCCACCTGAGGGCATCTTGGGGCCGAGGGCTCGAAATGTCGGTTCGGGTCCCCCGTGTGGGCCCCCTCTCGGAGCCGTCTTGGGGGCCTCTTGGGCCGTCTTGGAGGCCTCTCGGGCCATCTCGGGGCCCTCCGTGACCGTTTCGGGGCCCCCTCGTTGGCCTCTTGGGCCGTCTTGGGGCGATCTTGGGGGGCCGCTGAAGCCGTCTGGGGGCGTCGGGAAGCCGAAAAGGCGCGGGAAATCTAAGCTTTTGGCGCCTCTTGGAGGCCTCTTGGGGCGTCTTGGATGCCTCTTGGGCCATCTCGGGGCCATCTTGGGCGTCTTGGAGCGGTTTTTAGGCGTCTCCAGACCCTCTTGGACCATCTTGGGGGTCTTTTGAGGCTCTCTTGATCCGTCTTGAGACCCCATCGGGCCCCAATAAGTAATGCGGGGAGATGCGCTGGATCCCCGACGCGACGCGGCAAGCCTCAGTAGATTGAGGGCAATTTAGGCTCCAGGCCCTTAAGGGATTCCTCAGGCGTGAGGATTCAGGCTTAAGGCATGAGGATTGGGGATGGATGCTTAGGCGATTCGTCAAAGGACCTGAGGACACGCGCACTCGTGCCCCAGAGGCACGGCGGCGGATTCATGTACATTCGACCCTGAATAGTAGGTCGACCCTGCCAGAGAACAAAGGGTGCCCGTGTTTCCTGCCTGTGTCTCGCGACCCATGCCTTCTCGCATTCCTATGGCAGTGTTACCCTCGGAAGGGTCTCGTGTCCTCTCGCGTGTCCTTTCCAATCAAGTCCGACTGCACACTGCACGAGGCGCCCCCCTGGAATGACGAGTGCCCGGTGGGCCTGCCACTCTGGCCAGAACCCTGCCTGCAGAGGATCAGCCCTCCACACTTCCAGCGGAAGAAGCGCAGACTGGGCAAGCGTAGTGGTAGAATCCACGGGGGTGTCTGGCGAGAGCCCAACTTGTGAACCATGCGGGACTCGTCGTACCGTGGACGCGTGGCGCACTCTCCAGTCTCCTGGCCGTAGAGTTCGCGGACGCCCCAAGAGAAAGAGCACCCTCTTGCGAAGGAGCCGCCCCCCACCCGCACAGCTGCTGCACAGCCTGGAATGCCGGGACACGGGAGCTTAAGAGGTCTCGAGCGAGAGCCGCACCTTGGAAACGAGCCGTCTTGAGACGAATACGCGCGGCGCTCGAGCGAACGCGACTGGCCCTCCAGCAGCTGTGTATCGGTGGTGTGATTCCAGGGCGCGGGTGCGCGGCGCTCCGGCGATCGCCGCGTTGTGGAGGCAATCGGCCCTCCGTCCTTGTAGCTGTTGCTGTTCCCCGTTGCTTCGGACTCGACGTGGCATTTCGCAGGGGGGGCCTCAAGCGAGTTTCCAGGCCTGGCCTGCGGACGCGTCTCGAGCAGGCGCAGTGCCAACAGCAGTGCCGGTGGGCCCTGCGGCGGCTTCCCTCCCAGCCATCCTCGGCACAGCGCGTTCCGAGGCGCGACGGGGAAGCAACGAAGGAGGCGGGGGGGAGGCCTCCCCACCCGCCCTCCGTCTGCCCCCTGCCTCTGGCCTCCCCCGCCCGCGCGCGGCGCGGCGCAGGCAAAGACGAGTGCTTCGCCTGCGGCGAGCCGAAGTCGAGCGGCGGGCCCCTGGCCCGTTCCCGCGCCCCCCTGGCCCCTCCTGCCTCCTCCTCCTCCTCCTCCTCCTCCTCCTCCTCCTCCTCCTCCTCCTCCTCCTCCTCCTCCCTCCTCCTCCTCCTCCTCCTCCCTCCTCCTCCTCCTCCTCCTCCTCCTCCTCCTCCTCCTCCTCCTCCTCCTCCGCCTCCTCCTCCTCCTCCCCCTCCTCCTCCTCCTCCCCTCCTCCCCTCCTCCTCCCCCTTCTCCTCCTCCTCCTCCTCCTCCTCCTCCTCAGCCGTTCTGGCCCAGGTGTTTGGGCTTGCTGCAGCTGTCTTCAGAACGGCGCCGCTGCAGCGAGCCAACTTGGCTTACAGTGCGTCGCTCCAAGGGAGCGCAGAATTTCACAACGAGGAAGGTGCAGCGATGGCGCCCGAGCCGCCGCCCCCACCCACGGTGCTCCGTGGGCCGCGGCGGCCCTTTTGGGCGTGCGGGAGGTGCTCAACCGCGGCGAACTGGGCATCTCGCATTCGTTGTCAGTGTGGGAATGAGGCGCCGCTTCGGATCAGGAACGAGGCCTGGAAGGCCCACAAGGCGGCGACCGCTGCCTTGCCTCCTGGTCAGTCGGGGGCGCCTCCTACGAAGAGCAAAGACAAGGATGACACCAGCAAGAGGCTCGCGGAGATGGAGAAGCTCATCAGGTCGTTCTGCAGCAAGGGGGAGCCGCCGCCTGCTGCCAGCCCGACAGTTGCTCCGTGGGCCCAGGGTTCCAAGCCGTCGTCGGACATGGGCCCGCTGCTCGAGTCTGATGATGAGAAGGTCAAGCGTGAGAAGCTCACTGCGCTGCTGGGGCAGTACGAGACGGTGCTCAAGAGTCTTCCTGGGCCCGACGAAGACCCCATCCGTGCTGCGACGATCGAGAAGATCAAGAGCATCAGGGAGCAGCAGAAGGCGCTGCGCACGCCTGCGATTGCGCATCGCAGGACGGCCCAGGACTTGCATAGGGCCCGCTTGGCCCGTGCAAAGATGGAGGCCGAGATCGAGGAGAAGACCTCGCAGATGCAGAAGCTGCAAGAGTCGATTGACGAGCGCAGGCTGCAGTTGGAGGCGAAGAAGCTCGAGATCGACAAGCTCGACGCGGAGTACAAGCGGACGGCGGCTCTCATCGCGCAGTCGGACGGGGAGCCGAAGCCGTCGGTCACGTTCAAGCTGGAGATCAAGCCGGAGGAGACACAGGATCCTGATGTTCAGGCCTTCCTCGGGTCGGATAAGTGGGAGATACTCAAGCCGATCATCCTCGCGAAGATCGGGCGGCCCTCGCAAGGGGGGCCCGACCATCCTCCTGCTGCTGCTGAGCCTCCTGGGGGCGATGTGGCCGCGGGGGATGACGACATCGACATGGAGCAGCTCAACGGGGACGACTTCGAAGCTCGAGCGGAGGCGTTCCGAGCCGCGGCAGAGGCCCTGCGAGCTGCTGAAGGTTCTGAAGCCCAGGCTGACGCCAAGCGGCAGCTACTGCAAGCCCAGGAGGCCCTCGGGGTCAAGCGCCGCAGGCAGGGGCTTTAGCAAGGCGGCAAGGCCACAGCGTGTGCAGCAGCTGTGGAGGCTGTGGACTGTCAACTCGAGCGCCTGGAGCTCCTTCCAGGGCTGCTTGGACTGGCAGAGGAGTTGGGGGGACAGCGCTCGGCCCCATGTGTGTTTTGGACAGGAACATCGGTTGAAAGATCTCACCAAAATTCATAGCGCGGCAGGCTGGCTCCGAGTTCGCGGCTATCACGGGGCGTTCGGCAGGGCGAAGTCCACGGGGCAGCTTGCCACGGAGTCGTCAGGGGGAGTTCTGACCGCAGTCGCGTCACACATTGCTTTCGCAGGCTTGAGCCTCAAGCATCTCGGTGTTCAGTCTGGGTATTTCTCGAGGCTGAAGCTGATTCGGGCCAACATGGCCTTCCCCCACGGCCTGCTGCTGGGCTCGGTCTACGGTTTCGTGGACGCATCCGACAAGGTGTTCACATGGGATATGCTGGAGGATTTGGGAGTGTTCCTGCGTCGGTCCAGGTCGCCGTGGATTCTCGCAGGGGACTTCAACTTGCCGCCAGAGGATACCAAGCTGTGCAAGTGGGTAGAGCTCCTCAAAGGCACGATCGTGGCCCCAAGCGGTCCGACTTGCTTTGCGTCCAAGTCAGGGTCCACGATCGACTACTACATCGTAAGTCAGGGGCTGGCCAACTTTGTCAGCGATGTTCGCACGGTATACGGTACCCCTTCGTCGCCTCACGTCGCTGTTGCCATGCAGCTCAAGGGCCCAACTCTGAACATACCGCTGCATGTTCGCAGGACATGGAAGCCCTTCCCCACTTCCCAGCGGACGGGGCCTGTGCGGAAGCCTGCCGAGCACTGCTGGTCCTGGCCCGCAGGGGTGCTCGCAGGTGTTCGGCTGGAAGATGCGTGGTGCCAGTGGCTGAGCAACATGGAGCTGGAGCTGCGCAACCAGTTCGACATCGTCGGTGCTGGGCAGAGAGGCTTCGTCGGCCGAGCTGACGGGTTCGAGCGGCGGCAGGTGCCTCTCGCCGTGTCGGTGGAAAAGGCGGCGTTGTCTGGCAGTGGGGCCCAGATGCGAGCCTGGAGGTCGCTGGATGCTATTCTATCCAGGTTCCAGGCGCTCCAGGACGACACCGTAGGTGCCAGCGATGAGGCAGCTGTGCAGCCGTCCTCCACGTGCTCAGGTGGTGCCTGCGATCGACGTGAGGAGCACGCGGGGGAGCGGCCAGCGGCGCCCAGCTTTGATGGGCTCAGCACCGAGGGTCCGTCGCTTTCCCTGGGTTCCATGGGCTTTGTCCTGCCTGACTACACGTCGCCGTACTCGGGGCCGACGCCGCTGGCTGGAGCTGAGGTCCAATCGTCGACAGACCAGGCTCCTGCAGATCCCCTGGGCCGAGAAGGTGGCCAAGGCATTAAACCAGGGGAGCGTCTCAGGGGCCAGGTCGGAAGGCAGCATGGTCGCAAGGGACGTGTCCGAGGCGATGCCCGTCTTCGCCTGCTGGAGGAGCTGGACCACCTCGACCTGTCGACGCTGAAGGGGGTCAAGATCGTGGAGTTCGACCTGCACTCGCTGCGCAGCGTTGCGGAAGCGGGTGGGGAGGACCTGGCCACCCTGGCGACCAACGTCCATCAAGCGGCGCTGGAGGCGTCCCAGGCGGCGGCAAAGGTGCAGCTGCAGGAGTGGAGAGAGTGGGCCCAGTCCGCGGTGAAAGCTGGTGGCCGTCGTGCTCACAGGTACCTGAAGGACTTGCCGCAGGTGAAAGGGCCAGTGGCTCCTGAGGGCTGGGCGCTGCAAGGGGATGCGGCCGCGCAGGCAATGCGCATGGATTGGTTGCAGTACTGGGGAGACGCCAAGGAGAGCATCTCACAGATCCAGGCATCAGTCGCGCAGAGAGATGAGCTGCCCAGGCCGTCGGCTGAGCGAGTTCGCGCGGTGTGCCGCTCCTTCCCCCACCAGGTGGGCTGTGGGGTGGACTGCGTGAACCCGCGCTCCTTCGCCCTGCTCGACGACGACTTCATGGAGAGGCTCGTGGACCTCATGGAGCTGCGGGAGGCCGACCCGCAGCTCTCGGAAAGATGGCCGACTCTGATGGTCTTCTTGGGCAAACCTGACGGCTCGGGGGTAAGGCCGATCGCCCTCATCTGCTCCATCCTGAGGGTCTGGGGCAAGGTGCGGCGAGAGGAGGCCAAGCTCTGGGAGGACCAACACGCTGCTGGTGTCTTCTGGGGAGTGCGAGATCGAGAATGCGACAGAGCAGGCTGGGTGCACCAGACAATGGCGCACTTTGCGCGCAGCAGGGGCATGCAGTCAGCTACCTTGGCCACGGACTTAGATAAGTTTTACGAGCGTATATGTCACGCAGTTTTGTTCGCAGAGGCGGAGGCCGTGAAGTTCTCGACCAGGCTCTGTAGAGCGGCATGTTCGCTTTACTCGGGGCCGCGTGCGGTGTCCTTCAACGGCTGCGTCTCCGTGGTCTTCCACGCCTCGGGCACGGTGCTGGCGGGCTGCTCGCTCGCGACGTGCCTGGCGAGAGTCCTGCTGTTTCGCCTGCTCACCACGGTCGAGAGCGAGCACCCGACGTCGATGGTGAGGAATGTGATTGATGACATCAGCGTGCAGTCCGTCGGCACGAGCCTCCACGTCGTCAGGGAGTTGGGCGGCGTCGGGAGCAAGCTGATCGATGGCTTGCGCAGGCTGCGTCTTGTGCTGTCGGAGAAAAATCACAGGTTCTCGCTTCATCGAAAGGGGTTGCTGAGGGACTGGCCAGTGCGTGGAAGGCGTCTTTCAAGAAGAAGGCTGTGATTAGGAGTCTGGGGACCGATTGGCAAGTGAGCTCTTCTAGGTTGGCCCCCATAGCCTCCAACAGGGTCAAGACTTGCATGCGTAGGTCGGCGCGCCTCCGCTCTCTGAGGCGCGCTGGGGCCTATGTGGGGCACATCCAGAGAGCGGGCCCTCAGGCCTCGGCTTTGTGGGGGGCCTCGGTGAGAGGGCTTCCTTGGTCGCAGTTAAAAAGGATCCGCACGCAGGCCCTCTTGTCTCTGGCTCCTGCGAAGCAGGGGGCGTCTGTGGGTTTAAAACTCCGCACGTTTAAGCAGGGTAGGACCATGGATCCCGTTCCGTTGTATTTCAAGCAGGTTGTGTTCGAGTGGGCTCGGGCTGTCTGGGACGGACTCCCCAGCATAACGATCCTACAGGCGGTTTTTGAGGATGCCGTTCGATCGCTTGCCACCACCAGTCGCCCGTGGTCGAGGGCGACGTCCCCTGCTCACGTGTTTGTGATTGCTTGTGGGGACCTGGGATGGGAAGCGAGATCGGCGCGCCTCATAGTTCTTTCGACGGGCGAGCAGATAGATCTGCTCAGGCTCTCGCCGTCGATTGTTGCCACTCTTGCCCAGCAGGCTGCCAGAGAGATGTCGGATTTTCGTGCCCTGGAGGCTCGTGAGGGTTCGTCGTCGTGGTGTCGGCCGGTGTTTTGGCAGCCGCTGGACTTTTTGTTCGCCGGGAGAAACGATGACTGGGACAGGACCCATAAGAATTCTCTCAGGGCCGCGGTCTCGGGGACCCACTGGACCCAGGACCGCCTGCAGCGACACGGCTTGGCGTCGTGCAACCTTTGCAGGCTGTGCAGGGGGGCCCCAGGGACCACGTTCCACCGTAGGTTTGTCTGCGAGGCATGGGCTGCTGATCGCTCCCTTTTCTTGTCGGATGAAGCGTTAGCTGCAGCCGAGCTAATTAGGCAGCGGGGCGACACTGGGGAGTTTTTTGCTTCGGGCATTTTCCCGTCTCCCAGGGAGCTGGTCCCCCCGCCGCTTGGGTCCGAAAGGTGCCAGGTCTTCTGGATTCGAAGGCCCGAGGATGGCCTGTTGTCTGGCAAACTTTTTACCGACGGCTCGGCCATTTTCCCCTCGGACCCGCTCCTGAGAAGAGCAGGGTGGGCGGTGATCTCGGTCGATGACACTGGTGCCATGATCTCTGGAGCTTTTGGCCCCGTCCCGTGGGATGTCGCCCCCCTCCAGCTCGCCAAGGATGGCGAGGATTATGCGTATCAGATGCTCGGCCAGATCGCTTTGGACCCCGAGGGTGTTTGGACTGATTGTGCTGCCGCGATTTCCTGTGCTCGGTCGAGAGTTCGCTCCACGAGTGCCCGTTGTGGCCAGGCTCACATGTGGACCTCTGTGCATGCGGCCTTCGAGGGAGGGCCGGCTGTCCATAAGACGAAGGCCCATTGCACGGAGGGCGATGTGGAGCGAGGTGTCACCACTCACTGGGAGCGCAAGGCTAACGCCATAGCCGACGCCCTCGCGAAGCGAGGGGCAGGTCAGCATCCATCAGTCGAGCAGGCCGCCCGTGAAATCGCTGGTTTAAGACTCTTGGGGCGTGAGTTGGGCCAGTGGGTTGGGCGGCAGGGGCTTCTGATGCGTGAGAGGGGATGGGTGGACTCGGAGGGCCTGCCTGATAAGCGCCTGGTGCCTGGTTCGGGCCCTCGCCAGGGCCGCCCCCCTGAGCGCCCCATCTCCCCCGTGTCTGCGCGGTTCAGGGCCGTGCTTTCCGCCGCTGCCCAGGCGGGGCCGTGTGATCCTGAGCTCACTATTTTGATGAGGCTGTCTCAGCATAACCTGCGTGTCTGCCATGTTTTTGATCAGACGGGAGCCTCCGTTGTCTCCGCCCCACGTATCGTGTGCTGTATTTCGTGTGGGGCTTATGCGTGGGGCGGGGTCAGGGAGCTCGCTGTCCGCGAATGTCACGGTCACAATGCGGGGAAGGGGCTCAAGCAGCAGCGATCACGGTTGCTCGCGGGTCTCTTCCCCAGGTGGCTTAGCAAGTACAAAGGCTGGAGGGTGAGCTGTCTCGAGAGGCCCGTCCCTGGAGATCTCCTGGACTTGGCTAGGGCCATTCTCGACCGTCCCCAGGCGCGTGTGTCGGCGCCAGCCTCCAGAGCCGTTTTCCCCAGGGGACCGCCTTGGCAGGTTCCCATGGGGCGAGGGCCCCTCCTTGCCCGCTTCGGCCTCACGGTGGACTCGCTCCCGTTCTGGGAGCTGGAGGCCGCCCGTCGGGGTGCGGGGGAGGATGAGGAGTCGGTTTAATGTGTTTCCGTTTTATCCTCGCGGTCGGTTTCTTGGACGCCGTCCGCCCTCGTCTTATCTTATCTTACCTCCTCCTCCTCCTCCTCCTCCTCCTCCTCCTCCTCCGCCTCCCCTTCGGGCCAGGGTCGCCTGAGAGGGGGGCGAGGACCAGGAGCTCCTGGCCCCCTCTTCTTCTTGCCACTCTTTGCCTGCCTGCCCCCCAGCGTCCTCCTTCTCGCCCACCCTCCTCGACCTCCTCCTCGCGCTTCCCTCCTCGCACTCCCTTTCGTCCTCCGAGTAGGAAGCGTGCGAGTACCCCCCCCCCCGGCCGCGCGCACGCTGCGGGCCATGATCTGCGGACCCCGCTTCTCAAGGCACCCTTTTGGCAGGCCCCCGGCCCGAGGCCAGTGTCAAGGGAGCATCGCTGGGGCGTGGGGGGGTCGCCACCCCTCGCTCGCGCTTGGACGTGGTGGTTCCCAGAGCGCCTGCGCCGCGAAGGCATCGATCTGCAGGAGGCGCTGTGCGGTGCGTCTGTGATGATGGGGGGGGGCCGATGGGGAGGGAGGATCGTTGAGGTCGAACGTGCTGCTGGCAGTTGTCTGTCGCCTCCTCCTGCTGCTCCTCCCCCCTGCGCGCTCTCCCCCTCGCCTCCCTCCTTCCTTCTCCCCCCCCTCTGCCTCCTCGGCCCCCCACTTCCCCAACTTCCCCCTCTCCTTCCGTGCCTCCTCCGCTCCCCCCCTCCTGCTCGCGCCTCCCTGCATCCCGCTCTCTCCTTCCTCTTCCCGTCGGCTTCGGTTTCCTCCTTGTCCTGCTGGTGGTTCCGCGCCTTCTCTGATCGTCCCCCATTTTTTTGCAAGACTTGACAGAACATCAAGAAGCAGTGCGTATGCGGGTACGGTGTCGACATTTCGAGCTGCCTCGCATGTGTGAGCAATTTGGCAGCTCAGAAGTTTGAAACAACCGCGGAAATCCGACAGTTTCCTTGCGCAACGACCCGTCATGATATTGCTCACTGCTTACAGTATGACGACGGCGTGTAAGCACTTGAGCGTGATAATTCCGGCAAATTCAGCACTTGTTTGTGAACTCGTCTCCACGTGCACCGCCTTACTAGTCACCACATGCGCCTTGAGCTTGGCGTATGTGTCGGGCTTCTCCTTGGAGGGGGACGCATGCGGGTTGGCAAGCTCCGAACTGGTGTGCGGTCGAGCGTGGGGCAGGGCCGGGCAGAGGAGCAGAGGGAGGGAATCGGCTCTCGCACACAACGCAACCGCACGCACGGACTGCATACCGGTGTTGATGAAGCGCCACCTGGATTCAGGCGACTGCTAGCTTAGTATTGATGCTGTAGTCCCGCTCCGGAAGAGCAGCCCGAGATGTGGCAGCAGTCGCTGTGCCCGTTGGTGAACATGAGCCCAGCCCAAATCTTCCCGTTGATGTAATACAAGAGTGAGCGCTCATCGACGTCCCAATAGTCCAGAACAGCTCACACCAGAAGACTGTGATGATCAGGTCGCCGCGCAATTTGTTGCCACAACCGTAAGCGTACCATTGAAAGAGCATTGGCTCCACACCGCCCCATGCCTGCGCGATACTGTGCCTCCCCTGTTGCAAGCTAGTCTTGTTGCATTGAGACCCTTCCAGAACGTGAACATGACGGATGACAAGAGCATCGCACTCTCGATGCTCCTTTCCGGCGGTAGGGCAGCACTCCTTACAGAACGCATGTTCGAAGCGACGCCCCCAGTGTAGGACATTTTGGAAGACGAGTGCCAGGCGGCTTTGCCTTGAAAGCTGAAAGGCACGCCGACACGAGCCCGTGTATTCTTCAACGCTGCGGTTTT